CGGCAGAGCAGCGAGGGGTAGCCAGGTGGAGTCTCGCGGCTCAGTGCGATTCGCACCCTTCCTCAAACACGGCGGCTTCGCACCACCTCCGGGCAAAGCATGTCGTTCCTCAAAATGGCGCCAAAACACTTGGAGCGTCTCTTTCTACCGATATACCCACGAATTCCTATGGGAAATCTTCTCTGAACACTGGCATGATATTCCCGGATCATTCCACTGCTACAAGACACTAGCAGGAGATCAGATTGAGTCTGATTGGTAACTGAGATGGGGAGGTATGAGTCTGTTACACCTTCTCGTATGAACTTTTTATCCACTTCTCACGACCTATTTAATACACTCCTTGCTATCACACGCAAATACGACAAGTTCCCGGATTCTGCTTCGTTCCCATGGACTCCCGTCGATGTTGGTGGAAATTGAGATGTTATAGGAGCCTCTAGGAACAGCAGTTTGACTTGGCTGGCCGACCAGTGAAACCACGTCTTACTAGGCTAGAGGCTGGCGCAGAATGGCGTCTTCTCTCTTCGGGCGGCGGGATGCCAGCTTCTACCGGTCCTTCTCAAACAAGCCAATCACAGAAAGGCATACAGCAGCATACCTCCTTGGCCAATCACAGGCGAGCTTCGTGGCCCTCAAGGATGGCCTCCAAGATGAGCCGCCCGGGGGTTGCCTTGGTGATGGAGCGGGTGGCTCACGCCTCATGCCTCTCGGCTACTCCGCTCTCCTCGCTTCTGTCTCCCTCAATCTTTTACAGTAAAAGGTGCTCCTCGTTCTAACTCTTTCCACAAATGGGCTACAACGGCCATTGTAACATAATTGGAATGCTGAGGACATAGGCTCTCCAGTGAGCCTATACACGGAAAGTTTCTGGAACGGGTTGCCCAATCTAGTCCAGGTGCACGGCTATTCACGTGCTCCAGTGCACCGCTAGCGTCACGTGCACGTACACCAATAGAAGATTTAGTTGGGGCCAACCCATTCGCTCACAACTGTCACATAACGTGTACCATGTTGTCGTCCACAGCTGCGGCAGGTGTCGTGGTGCGTGACGGTGGTGGTGGGTCACTGTCACATAACGTGTACCGTGTTGTCGTCCACAGCTGCGGCAGGTGTCGTGGTGCGTGACGGTGGTGGTGGGACACTGTCACATAACGTGTACCATGTTGTCGTCCACAGCTGCGGCAGGTGTCGTGGTGCGTGACGGTGGTGGTGGTGGGACACTGTCACATAACGTGTACCGTGTTGTCGTCCACAGCTGCGGCAGGTGTCGTGGTGCGTGACGGTGGTGGTGGGACACTGTCACATAACGTGTACCGTGTTGTCGTCCACAGCTGCGGCAGGTGTCGTGGTGCGTGACGGTGGTGGTGGGTCACTGTCACATAACGTGTACCATGTTGTCGTCCACAGCTGCGGCAGGTGTCGTGGTGCGTGACGGTGGTGGTGGTGGGTCACTGTCACATAACGTGTACCATGTTGTCGTCCACAGCTGCGGCAACCCAGCAAACACAAATCATCTACACAACGTTCGCCTATCTCTTCCCATAGGTGTGGGAATGATTTGCATTGAGAATGGTGCAGGAGAGCCTTTGAGAAACTTTTACTCAAAAAATCCAAACACAAAGGTTTAATTATAAATTGTTTTTCTACAATTATTTTCTTCCAAATGTAAAACAAATAGTTTTTACATGTTTAAATATAAAATTTATGGTGTTTTTTTGTAAAATTCATTAATAAATTGTGAATGATATATATTGGCTGAGTGAAACCTTTAAAATCCATTTAGTTATAATATGAACAGAAAAAAGTAGTTTTCCAAATTTTCTAAAAATCGCTCTTTTTAACACAATTTGACTCCTTATGCATTCCACTAAACACTAATATCATGTTTAAATATATAATTTATGTATTATTCCCTAAGATAATTTATATAAATTTTAAAAGTTGCTGGAAAGTGGTGAGAACGAATCTGAAAACGTTTTGTTGTCTTATATTGGCGTGTTCTTATTAACTAGAGTGAGTAAGAGTGAGCGAGAGTGGGTAAGAGTGAGTAAGAGTGAATGAAGGTGAGTGAGAGTGCCAGAGAGTGTGTAAGTGTGAGTAAGAGTGAGTATAAGTAAGAGTGACTGAGAGTGAGTAAGAGTGACAGAGTGAGTAAGAGTGAGAGTAAGAGTGACAGAATGAGTAAGAGTGAGAGTAAAGTGATTGAGAGTAAGGGTGAGTATGAGAGTAAGAGTGATTGAGAGTTAGAGTGAGAGTAAGAGTGATTGAGAGTTAGTGAGAGTAAGAGTGATTGAGAGTAAGAGTGATTGAGAGTAAGAGTGATTGAGAGTAAGAGTGATTGAGAGTAAGAGTGATTGGGAGTAAGAGTGATTGAGAGTAAGAGTGATTGGGAGTAAGAGTGATTGGGAGTAGGAGTTAGAGTGAGAGTAGGAGTAAGAATGAGAATAAGAGTGATTGAGAGTAAGAGTGAGTAAGAGTAAGAATGAGAGTAAGAGTGATTGAGAGTAAGAGTGATTGAGAGTAAGAGTGATTGAGAGTAAGAGTGATTGGGAGTAAGAGTGATTGGGAGTAAGAGTAAGAGTGAGAGTAAGAATGAGAATAAGAGTGATTGAGAGTAAGAGTGATTGGGAGTAAGAGTAAGAGTAAGAATGAGAGTAGGAGTGATTGAGAGTAGGAGTGATTGGGAGTAGGAGTGATTGGGAGTAAGAGTGATTGAGAGTAAGAGTAATTGAGAGTAAGAGTATGAGAGTAAGAGTGAGAGAGTGAGTATGAATGGGTAAGGGTGACTGAGAGTGAGTAAGAATGACAGAGTAAGAGTGACAGAGAGTAAGAGTGACAGAGTAAGAGTGACAGAGAGTAAGAGTGACAGAGTAAGAGTGACAGAGAGTAAGAGTGACAGAGAGTAAGAGTGACAGAGAGTAAGAGTGACAGAGTAAGAGTGACAGAGTAAGAGTGACAGAGAGTAAGAGTGACAGAGTAAGAGTGACAGAGAGTAAGAGTGACAGAGAGTAAGAGTGACAGAGAGTAAGAGTGACAGAGAGTAAGAGTGACAGAGAGTAAGAGTGACAGAGAGTAAGAGTGACAGAGAGTAAGAGTGACAGAGTAAGAGTGACAGAGAGTAAGAATGACAGAGTAAGAGTGACAGAGTAAGAGTGACAGAGAGTAAGAGTGACAGAGTAAGAGTGACAGAGTAAGAGTGACAGAGTAAGAGTGACAGAGAGTAAGAGTGACAGAGTAAGAGTGACAGAGTAAGAGTGACAGAGTAAGAGTGACAGAGAGTAAGAGTGACAGAGAGTAAGAGTGACAGAGAGTAAGAGTGACAGAGAGTAAGAGTGACAGAGAGTAAGAGTGACAGAGAGTAAGAGTGACAGAGTAAGAGTGACAGAGTGTAAGAGTGACAGAGAGTAAGAGTGACAGAGAGTAAGAGTGACAGAGAGTAAGAGTGACAGAGTAAGAGTGACAGAGAGTAAGAGTGACAGAGTAAGAGTGACAGAGTAAGAGTGACAGAGAGTAAGAGTGACAGAGAGTAAGAGTGACAGAGAGTAAGAGTGACAGAGTAAGAGTGACAGAGTAAGAGTGACAGAGTAAGAGTGACAGAGAGTAAGAGTGACAGAGAGTAAGAGTGACAGAGTAAGAGTGACAGAGAGTAAGAGTGACAGAGTGTAAGAGTGACAGAGAGTAAGAGTGACAGAGTGTAAGAGTGAGTAAGAGTGACAGAGAGTAAGAGTGACAGAGAGTAAGAGTGACAGAGTAAGAGTGACAGAGTAAGAGTGACAGAGAGTAGGAGTGACAGAGTGTAAGAGTGACAGTAAGAGTGACAGAGAGTAAGAGTGACAGAGAGTAAGAGTGACAGAGAGTAAGAGTGACAGAGTAAGAGTGACAGAGTAAGAGAGTGAGAGTGATTATGAGAGAGTTAAGAGTGTGAGGTGTGTGAGTGTAGCAGGCCAGGGAGGCAGGATGTGTGGTCACAGGCGAGGCCTAGGCCTCGTGATCTCTAATGTTGGTTTTTATATATATGTGGGATTTTTTGTCCTGTTTCAAATTATAATTATTTAGCAGGAATGTAATAAGATATTGCACAGTATTAATGTGACAATAATATATGCATTATTTCCTTGATAATCAAACTTGTTGTTCAAAGATAATATACAATCTTTGAAGGAAACATTTTGAGAGCGCAAGCTGGCAACACTGTTCTGGTGGGTGAGAGAGACATATGGTTAGTTGTACTCAGACCTACAGTGGAGAAGGGTGTGTCCCAGCTGGCCGCCACCAGCCGCCACCCGCCGCCACCCGCCGCCACCCGCCGCCCACCACCAGCCGCCACCCGCCACCACCCACCACCAGCCGCCACCGCCACCACCCGCCACCCGCCGCAGCCGCCACCAGCCGCCACCCACCGCCAGCCGCCACTGCCAGCCGCCACCCGCCACCCGCCCCACCACCAGCCGCCACCCGCCGCCACCCGCCACCACCCACCACCAGCCGCCACCCGCCACCACCCACCACCAGCCGCCACCCGCCACCACCCACCACCAGCCGCCACCCGCCACCACCCACCACCAGCCGCCACCCGCCACCACCCACCACCCGCCACCCGCCACCAGCCACCGCCAGCCACCACCGCCACCCACCACCAGCCGCCACCCGCCGCCACCCACCAGCCGCCACCCGCCACCCACCACCAGCCGCCACCCGCCACCAGCCGCCACCCGCCACCCGCCACCACCAGCCACCACCCGCCACCACCCGCCACCCGCCACCAGCCGCCACCCGCCACCACCACCAGCCACCAGCCGCCACCCGCCACCACCCACCACCAGCCGCCACCCGCCACCACCCACCACCAGCCGCCACCCGCCACCGCCACCCACCACCCGCCACCCGCCACCCACCACCACCGCCACCCGCCACCCGCCACCGCCACCGCCACCCGCCACCCGCCACCCGCCACCGCCACCCACCACCACCCGCCACCAGCCACCGCCACCCACCACCGCCACTCACCACCCGCCGCCACCACCCACCACCAGCCGCCACCCGCCACCCACCACCGCCACCCGCCGCCACCACCCACCACCACCACCCACCACCACCAGCCGCCGCCGCCACCACCACCCACCACCACCGCCGCCACCACCCATCACCGCCGCCGCCACCACCACCCACCACCACCGCCGCCGCCACCACCCATCACCACCGCCGCCGCCGCCACCACCCACCACAGCCGCCGCCGACACCACCGCCACCACCCACCACAGCCGGCACCACCACCCACCACCACCACCCACCACCGCCGCCACCACCAGCCGCCACAAGCCGCCACCGCCCGCCACCGCCCGCCACCAGCCGCCATCACCACCACCACCACCACCAGCCGCCATCACCGCCACCAGCTGCCACCACCACCAGCCGCCACCACCACCAGCCGCCATCACCGCCACCAGCTGCCACCACCACCAGCCGCCATCACCGCCACCAGCTGCCACCACCACCAGCCGCCACCACCAGCCGCCACCACCGCCACCACCACCTGCCACCAGCCGCCACCACCGCCCGCTATCAGCAGTCACCGCCCGTTGCCACAGTCGCCACCGCAAGCCGCCACCGCCAGCCGCCACCAGCCCCCCCCACCGCCGATCGTCACCACCCACCACAGCCGCCGCCGCCCGCCACCGCCCGCCACCACCCACCACAGCCGCCACCACCCGCCGCCCCACCACCACCACCGCCGCCGCCGCCACCACCACCACCACCCGCCGCCGCCGCCACCACCCACCACCACCGCCGCCGCCGCCGCCACCACCACCACCCACCACCACCGCCGCCACCACCAGCCGCCGCCGCCACCACCACCCACCACCACCGCCGCCACCACCCACCACCGCCAGCCGCCACCACTCCTCACAGACCCCGCCACCGCCCGCCACCACCGCCAGACACAGCCGCCAGTGTCCGCCACCGCCGCCACTGTCCGCCACCGCCGCCACTGTCCGCCACCGCCGCCATTGTCCGCCACCGCCGTCACTGTCCGCCACCGCCACCACTGTCCGCCACCGCCACCACTGTCCGCCCGCCGCCACCACTGTCCGCCCGCCGCCACCACTGTCCGCCCGCCGCCACCACTGTCCGCCCGCCGCCACCACTGTCCGCCCGCCGCCTCCACTGTCCGCCCGCCGCCTCCACTGTCCGCCCGCCGCCTCCACTGTCCGCCCGCCGCCTCCACTGTCCGCCCGCCGCCTCCACTGTCCGCCCGCCGCCGCCACTGTCCGCCCGCCGCCGCCACTGTCCGCCCGCCGCCGCCACTGTCCGCCCGCCGCCGCCACTGTCCGCCCGCCGCCGCCACTGTCCGCCCGCCGCCGCCACTGTCCGCCCGCCGCCGCCACTGTCCGCCCGCCGCCGCCACTGTCCGCCCCCGCCGCCACTGTCCACCCCGCCGCCACTGTCCGCCACGCCGCCACTGTCCGCCCGCCGCCACTGCCCTGTCCCGCCGCCACTGTCCGCCCGCCGCCGCCCTGTCCGCCCGCCGCCACTATCCGCCACCGCCGCCACTGTCCGCCCGCCGCCACTGTCCGCCCGCCGCCACTGTCCGCCACCGCCGCCACTGTCCGCCCGACGCCACTGTCCGCCCGCCGCCACTGTCCGCCCGCCGCCACTGTCCGCCCGCCGCCACTGTCCGCCACCGCCGCCACTGTCCGCCCGCCGCCACTGTCCGCCCGCCGCCACTATCCGCCACCGCCGCCACTGTCCGCCCGCCACTGTCCGCCCGCCACTGTCCGCCCGCCGCCACTGTCCGCCCGCCGCCACTGTCCGCCCGCCGCCACTGTCCGCCACCGCCGCCACTGTCCGCCACCGCCGCCACTGTCCGCCCCGCCGCCACTGTCCGCCACCGCCGCTACTGTCCGCCCGCCGCCACTGTCCGCCCGCCGCCGCCACTGTCCGCCCGCCGCCACTGTCCGCCCGCCGCCACTATCCGCCACCGCCGCCACTGTCCGCCACAGCCGCCACTCTCTGCCGTACAGCCTCCCCTCTCTCCGTTAGTAAATAATTATAATTGTTAGTAAATAATAAAAGAAATATAAATTATTAGATTTTTTTTACCCTTAAATTGGTTTTAATATTTAAATTAAAAAAATAATAATATAATATAAAATATAATTTAATTTCAAGAAATTTAACTTTAAACACAAAGATGTAAAAAGGGTTCAGATTATTGGCTCAAACCTTTCATAAGAGATTCATATTGGTATATGAATGGATTATGAATGACTCATGTTAGGAGTGTAAAGTTGCCACAACATCTCAAATTAGTGTTAGATACATATGTCTTGGTTATAAGTTTTGGAAACCTATTTAAGTCCACACACAATATCGTATCTGATAGGATAAAACAAACGTTTCCAAAACTTTCAAATACTTTCCAGATATGTTGTGGCAACCTAAAATTGTTTGCTGGGCAGGTGCGGGGTGTACCTGCAGGTGCCGTACAGTCCCCTGGGCGCCCAGGCGCTGAAGGTGGCCTCCTGGACGCCCCAGCGAGGCCTCGCTCTCACCTCCAGCCTCCCGCTCTTCCCAGACAAGTTCTCAAAGTAAGGACCGTATTCACAATTATGAAGACAAATATATTAAATATAAAAATAACTAGTAAAGTTATATATGTACATGAACATTAGAATAAAGGTAACTGCAGAAGGCCTATTGGCCTATACAAGGCAGCTCCTATTTATAACCACCCAATCCCACTCATATACATGTCCAACCTACTTTTGAAACCATCATAGGACCCCACCTTCACCACGTTACACGGTAATTGGATCCACAAATCAACAACCCTCTTACTAAACAAGTCTTTCCTAAATCTAAACTTATCCAATTTATGCCCATTTTTTCTTGTTCTGTGTTGTGTTGTAACTTTTAATACCCTATTATTATCTTACTTTGTTATATGTATTCATCCTCTAGTAAAGCTCTATTATGTCACCTCTAACTCTTCGTCTCTCCAGTGAATGAAATTTAAGCTTTGTTAATCTTTCTTCATATGACATGTTTCTAATTTCGGGCATTAACTTTGTCATCCTACGCTGGACACGTTCAAGTGATTTTATATCCATTCTACAGTACGGCGACCGAAACTGAACTGCATAATCTAAATGGAGCCTAACCAGAGCCAGATATAGCTGAAGAACAACACCAGGTGTCTTGTTACTAACGCTTCGATTAATAAATCCCAGTGTCTTAATTGCCTTATGACAATTATTTATGCATTGATATTTTGGTTTTGAATTCATACTAATCATAACTCCCAGATCCCTTTCGCAATCCGACTTCGCAATCTCAGCACCATCTAGCTCATATCTAGTAACTCATCATTAACCATACATTCCCTAGCCTCAAAACCGTACATTTGTCAGTATTAAACTCCATCTGCCAATCTTTTGACCATTTCAGTACCTTATTTAGATCGTCTTGAAGTAATAGTAACTCTTTTTCCGTGATTATTTCCCCCCCCCCCAATTTTCGTATCATCGGCAGATTTGCCAATATTGCTGCTCAAACCTGAATCTAAATCATTTATACATATCTTAAATAACAGTGGTTCCAGGACAGAGCCTTCAGGCACTCCACTTATAACATCTTCCCACTCAGACTTATCCCCATTTACACTAACTCTGTTTCCTTTGGTATAGCCATTCCCTAATCCAACTTAATATAGCACCCCCAATACCACGATCCTCTGTCTTTTTAATCAATCTTTCATGTGGCACTGTAGCAAAAGCTTTCCTAAATTCAAGGTACACAACATCACAAACTTTACCACTATCAACTGCCTCAACTATGTTTGAATAAAGTTATAGCAAATTTCTTAAACATTAATGTCCATTTGTAAAACCATAATGTGAATCATTTATTAATTTATATATTTCAAGATAAAGACGAATGGTATTTGCAAATATCGATTCAAGTAACTTTCCCACAATTGACGTTAAGCTAATTGGCCGATAGTTTGACGCAAGTGATCTATCTCCTTTCTTAAAAATTGGTACCACATTACAACCTACCACGACTCTGGCACTCTGCCTGACTCTGATGATTTATTAAATATATACACATTGGTTCGGAAAGCTCCTGTTTGCATTCTTTAAGCACCCTGGAAAACACATCGTCCGGCCCTGCGGATTTGTTTGGCTTGAGTTTCACTAAATGTTTAATAATATCATCCCTGGTAGCTGCTAAACTAGTCAACCTATGCTCGTCCCCACCCACATAGACTTGTTTGGCTGAAGGCATAGTGTAAAGTTCCTCATTAGTAAATACGGAGGTAAAATGTTTATTAAAAATACTACTCATCTCTTCGTCATTATTCGTTTTCTGACCTGTCATTACTACATTCCTGTGCTTTGCTTAGAATATTTTTAAATAGATTATATTTTGAATCCACATCGAAATCCCTTTTAACATCACCCATCACTGGGTTCACGTCTCGCTCCAAGACTGGCCCAGGCCCCCCTGTCCAAGACTTTCCAATCTATTTCACCCAAAAAAATTCATAAGCTGTTTAAATCAGCTTTTCGATAATCTGGCACTTTAACAGAATTTCCCCCCTACCTTTTCTTTTTCCATTCTGTACATAATCTGATTTCTTTGTGATCACTGTTCCCTAGCTCACTCCTTATTTCGATGTCATTAATTTGTGTTTTCCTGTTAGACAACACTAAATCTAAAATATTATTTTAGATGGTTCCTTAACGATGTTGCGTAAGAAAGCAATCGTGTTATTTCAGGAAAATCTTCTGCTTTATTATTCCCTGTTCTGTCATCAGTTTATTTCACTAAAAATAAAGTCACCCGTGACACAAATACTGTTATACCTAGATTCTCTAGATATTTCATCCAATAGATGCTTTGCTTCCATTCTGCCTAAGTTTGGTGGCTTACAACTCCTATTGTAAGATTATTTGCTTTTTCGCTTAATTCTTACCACAGAATTAAACGGAGACCAGAGACCAAAGGAGAGATACTTGCACAGTATGAGGATAAATCTCATCAGAGCTACCTCGTTCCGTTTCTGAGATCTACTGCTGAATACTCTTACCAATATTATACGAAAAATCTAAGTTTATGATAATAATTCTAAACTCTATAAAATGTTCAAATATATTATTAAATGCATGTAGATCCAATAGTGTATTTATTTAAACAAATAATAAGTAAATTGGTAAATTTAAACATTAAATACATCAAATTTGGATTTAAAAAATGTCAGCAGGCACAGTGTTGTGAAGAAATCATTGAATAAGTTTCGTTGAATGTCAGATTCATTCAGCGGCCGACCCTGACGCTGGCCGCAGAGATAAACGCGCTGATTACTGTGGTTAACCCCAAGGAAGATGAGGCTGGTGAGAAAGTGATGTTACAGTTTGCAGGACCAGCAGCGGACCTGGTATCCTACCTCGCTAAGGGTCTCAACTTCTCGTAAGTCACAGTTTAGTGGACAAATACCAGCACAACTCTTATACTTCAGTATCATGAGAATCACTGTCATTGTTAATGGCTGCTTAGCTGCAGCCTCTATGTTTTCATCTAAGTATTATATTAACAATTATATAAAAAATTGAACAACATGTAATTCCATTTTATGAAATGTCACTGATTTTCCAAATTATATTCTACATGATAGATTTCGAAATAATTTATTGTTTTTCACTTAAAAATAATATACATATATAATGGAAGGAAAGGATATTCGTTAAATATTATTAAACCCACGAAATGGACGTTTTCACCAACACAGATACAAATACATGAGGCCTCCTGATGGATCTTCGGGCAGTAAGCGTGAGGATGGGAGCTGGTCAGGCATGGTGGGGATGGTCATCAGGCAGGTGGGTGCTGCCTGTATGGTCACCAGGCAGGTGGGTGCTGCCTGTATGGTCACCAGGCAGGTGGGTGCTGCCTGTATGGTCACCAGGCAGGTCAGGCTGGTGGGTGCTGCCTGTATGGTTACCAGGCAGGTGGGGTGCTGCCTGTATGGTCACCAGGCAGGTGGGTGCTGCCTGTATGGTCATCAGGCAGGTGGGTGCTGCCTGTATGGTCACCAGGCAGGTGGGTGCTGCCTGTATGGTCATCAGGCAGGTGGGTGCTGCCTGTATGGTCATCAGGCAGGTGGGTGCTGCCTGTATGGTCATCAGGCAGGTGGGTGCTGCCTGTATGGTCATCAGGCAGGTGGGTGCTGCCTGTATGGTCATCAGGCAGGTGGGTGCTGCCTGTATGGTCATCAGGCAGGTGGGTGCTGCCTGTATGGTCATCAGGCAGGTGGGTGCTGCCTGTATGGTCACCAGGAAGGTGGGTGCTGCCTGTATGGTCACCAGGCAGGTGGGTGCTGCCTGTATGGTCACCAGGCAGAGGTGAGTGCTGCCTGCATGGTCATCAGGCAGGTGGGTGTTGCTGCGTGTATGGTCATCAGACAGGTGGGTGCTGCCTGTATGGTCACCAGGCAGTTGGGTGCTGCCTTTAAGGCCATCGGGCAGGTGAGTGCAACCTGTATGGTCGTTAGGCAGGTGGGTGCTGCCTGTATGGTCACCAGGAAGGTGGGTGCTGCCTGTATGGTCACCAGGCAGGTGGTGCTGCTGCCTGTATGGTCAGCAGGGTGGGTGTGCTGCCTGTATGGTCGTTAGGCAGGTGGGTGCTGCCTGTATGGTCACCAGGCAGGTGGGTGCTGCCTGTATGGTCACCAGGCAGGTGGGTGCTGCCTGTATGGTCACAAGGCAGGTGGGTGCTGCCTGTATGGTCACCAGGCAGGTAGGTGCTGCCTGTATGGTCATCAGGCAGGTGGGTGCTGCCTGTATGGTCATCAGGCAGGTGGGTGGCTGTAGGTGCAGGTGCTGCCTGTATGGTCATCAGGCAGGTGGATGCTGCCTGTATGGTCACCAGGCAGGTGGGTGCTGCCTGTATGGTCATCAGGCAGGTGGGTGCTGCCTGTATGGTCATCAGGCAGGTGGGCTGCTGCCTGTATGGTCACCAGGCAGGTGGGTGTGCTGCCTGTATGGTCATCAGGCAGGTGGGTGCTGCCTGTATGGTCACCAGGCAGGTGGGTGCTGCCTGTATGGTCATCAGGCAGGTGGTGTGCTGCCTGTATGGTCATCAGGCAGGTGGGTGCTGCCTGTATGGTCACCAGGCAGGTGGGTGCTGCTGCCTGTATGGTCATCAGGCAGGTGGGTGCTGCCTGTATGGTCACCAGGCAGGTGGGGTGCTGCCTGTATGGTCATCAGGCAGGTGGGTGTGCTGCCTGTATGGTCATCAGGCAGGTGGGTGCTGCCTGTATGGTCACCAGGCAGGTGGGTGCTGCCTGTATGGTCACCAGGCAGGTGGGTGCTGCCTGTATGGTCATCAGGCAGAGGTGGGTGCTGCCTGCATGGTCATCAGGCAGGTGGGTGTTGCTGCGTGTATGGTCATCAGGCAGGTGGGTGCTGCCTGTATGGTCATCAGGCAGGTGGGTGCTGCTGCCTGTATGGGCATCAGGCAGGTGGGTGCTGCCTGTATGGTCATCAGGCAGGTGGGTGCTGCCTGTATGGTCACCAGGAAGGTGGGTGCTGCCTGTATGGTCACCAGGCAGGTGGGTGCTGCCTGAATGGTCACAAGGCAGGTGGGTGCTGCCTGTATGGTCACCAGGCAGGTGTGGTGCTGCCTGTATGGTCACCAGGCAGGTGGGTGCTGCCTGTAAGGTCATCAGGCAGGTGGGTGCTGCCTGTATGGTCATCAGGCAGGTGGGTACTGCCTGTATGGTCACCAGGCAGGTGGGTGCTGCCTGTTTGGTCACCAGCCAGGTGGGTGCTGCCTGCATGGTCATCAGGCAAGTGGGTGCTGCTTCCTATATGGTCACCAGGAAGGTGGGTGCTGCCTGTATGGTCACCAGGCAGGTGGGTGCTGCTTGCATGGTCACAAGGCAGGTGGGTACTACCTATATGGTCAACAGGAAGGTGGGTACTGCCTGTATGGTCACCAGGCAGGTGGGTGCTGCCTGTATGGTCATCAGGCAGGTGGGTGCTGCCTGTATGGTCATCAGGCAGGTGGGTGCTGCCTGTATGGTCATCAGGCAGGTGGGGTGCTGCCTGTATGGTCATCAGGCAGGTGGGTGCTGCCTGTATGGTCATCAGGCAGGTGGTGTGCTGCCTGTATGGTCAACAGGAAGGTGGGTACTACCTATATGGTCACCAGGCAGGTGGGTGCTGCCTGTATGGTCGTTAGGCAGGTGGGTGCTGCCTGTATGGTCATCAGGCAGGTGGGTACTACCTATATGGTCACCAGGCAGGTGGGTGTTGCCTGTATGGTCATCAGGCAGGTGGGTGCTGCCTGTATGGTCATCAAGCAGGTGGGTGCTGCCTGTATGGTCATCAGGCAGGTGGGTGCTGCCTGTATGGTCACCAGGCAGGTGGGTGCTGCCTGTATGGTCAACAGGCAGGTGGGGCTGCTGCCTGTATGGTCATCAGGCAGGTGGGTGCTGCCTGTATGGTCATCAGGCAGGTGGGTGCTGCTTGTATGGTCATCAGGCAGGTGGGCTGCTGCCTGTATGTTCATCAGGCAGGTGGGTGCTGACTGTATGGTCATCAGGCAGGTGGGTGCTGCCTGTATTGTCACCAGGCAGGTGGGTGTTGCTTATATGGTCACCAAGCAGGTGGGTGCTGCTTGTATTTTCATCAGGCAGGTGGGTGCTGCTGCCTGTATGGTCATCAGGCAGGTGGGTGCCTGTATGGTCTCAGCTGCCTGTATGGTCATCAGGCAGGTGGATGCTTCCTGTATGGTCATCAAGCAGGTGGGTGCTGCTTCCTGTATGGTCATCAGGCAGGTGGTGCTGCTGCCTGTATGGTCATCTGACAGGTGGTTGCTGCCTGTATGGTCATCAGGTAGGTGGGTGCTGCCTGTATTGGCACCAGGCAGGTGGGTACTGCCTGTATGGTCATCAGGCTGGTGGGTGCTGCCTGTATGGTCATCAGGCAGGTGGATGCTGCCTGTATGGTCATCAGGCAGGTGGGTGCTGCCTGTATGGTCATCAGGTGCTGCCTGTATGGTCATCAGGCAGGTGGGTGCTGCCTGTATGGTCACCAGGCAGGTGGGTACTGCCTGTATGGTCATCAGGCTGGTGGGTGCTGCCTGTATGGTCATCAGGCAGGTGGATGCTGCCTGTATGGTCATCAGGCAGGTGGGTGCTGCCTGTATGGTCATCAGGCAGGTGGGTACTGCCTGTATGGTCATCAGGCTGGTGGGTGCTGCCTGTATGGTCATCAGGCAGGTGGGGCTGCCTGTATGCTGCCTGTATGGTCATCAGGCAGGTGGGTGCTGCCTGTATGGTCATCAGGCAGGTGGGTGCTGCCTGTATGGTCATCAGGCAGGTGGGTGCTGCCTGTATGGTCATCAGGCAGGTGGGTGCTGCCTGTATGGTCATCAGGCAGGTGGGTGCTGCCTGTATGGTCATCAGGCAGGTGCTGCCTGGTCATCAGTGCTGCCTGTATGGTCATCAGGCAGGTGGGTGCTGCTGCCTGTATGGTCATCAGGCAGGTGGTGCTGCCTGTATGGCAGGTGGGTGCTGCCTGTATGGTCAGGTGGGTGCTGCCCAGGCAGGGTGGGTGCTGCCTGTATGGTCATCAGGCAGGTGGGTGCTGCCTGTATGGTCATCAGGCAGGTGGGTGCTGCCTGTATGGTCATCAGGCAGGTGGGTGCTGCCTGTATGGTCATCAGGCAGGTGGGTGCTGCCTGTATGGTCATCAGGTATGGTCATCAGGTGGGTGCTGCCTGTATGGTCATGCAGGTGGGCTGCTGCCTGTATGGTCACCAGGCAGGTGGGTGCTGCCTGTATGGTCGTTAGGCAGGTGGGTGCTGCCTGTATGGTCACCAGGCAGGTGGGTGCTGCTGCCTGTATGGTCATCAGGCAGGTGGGTGCTGCCTGTATGGTCATCAGGCAGGTGGTGCTGCTGCCTGTATGGTCATCAGGCAGGTGGGTGCTGCCTGTATGGTCATCAGGCAGGTGGGTGCTGCCTCTATGGTCATCGGGCAGATGGGTGCTGCCTGTATGGTCACCAGGCAGGTGGGTGCTGCCTGTATGGTCATCAGGCAGGTGGTGCTGCCTGTATGGTCACCAGGCAGGTGGGTGCTGCCTGTATGGTCATCAGGCAGGTGGGGTGCTGCCTGTATGGTCATCAGGCAGGTGGGTGCTGCCTGTATGCTGCCTGTATGGTCATCAGGCAGGTGGGTGCTGCCTGTATGGTCATCAGGCAGGTGGGTGCTGCCTGTATGGTCATCAGGCAGGTGGGTGCTGCCTGTATGGTCATCAGGCAGGTGGGTGCTGCCAGGCAGCTGCCTGTATGGTCACCAGGCAGGTGGGTGCTGCCTGTATGGTCACCAGGCAGGTGGGTGCTGCCTGTATGGTCATCAGGCAGGTGGGTGCTGCCTGTATGGTCATCAGGCAGGTGGGTGCTGCCTGTATGGTCATCAGGCAGGTGGGTGATGCCTGTATGGTCATCAGGCAGGTGGGTGCTGCCTGTATGGTCACCAGGCAGGTGGGTGGTGCCTGTATGGTCATCAGGCAGGTGGGTGCTGCCTGTATGGTCAGGTGGGTGCTGCCAGGCAGGCACGTGGGTGCTGCCTGTATGGTCATCAGGCAGGTGGGTGCTGCCTGTATGGTCATCAGGCAGGTGGGTGCTGCCTGTATGGTCATCAGGCAGGTGGGTGCTGCCTGTATGGTCATCAGGCAGGTGGGTGCTGCCTGTATGGTCATCAGGCAGGTGGGTGCTGCCTGTATGGTCACCAGGCAGGTGGGTGCTGCCTGTATGGTCACCAGGCAGGTGGTGTGCTGCCTGTATGGTCATCAGGCTGGTGGGTGCTGCCTGTA